CACAACTTTATCTGTGTTTGTTTCTGTTTTTAAGCCCCGTTTCCATGGAGACGTCACTGCTCTGCTTGGAATGTTCCACAGTGTGACTTTAAACATCTCTACCTTGCACATTTATCCAGTTACAAGTGTTTTTTACGGCTCAAAAACACCTCAAAAAACTGACATTGTGACTGTGAGCCGGGTCGCCTCTCCACAGATCTGACCTGGAACTTGCTGTTTTCTAGAGCCGCTGCTCCTGCGAAGTCCTGCGTCTTAAAAAGAACAGATTCACCAGTGTCTGCACTAGTGCTGCAGGCAAGACCGAGACCGAGACCAAGACCAGTCCAAGACCAGTCCAAGACCACAGGGTCCCCAGTCCAAGACAAGACCAAGACAAGACCAAGACCAAGACAAGACCAACCAAGACCAAGACCAAGACCAAGACCAAGACCAGTCCAAGACCACAGGGTCCCAAGACCAAGACAAGACCAAGACAAGACCAAGACAAGACCAAGACAAGACCAAGACCACAGGGTCCCAAGACCAAGACAAGACCAAGACAAGACCAAGACAAGACCAAGACCAAGACAAGACCACAGGGTCCCAAGACCAAGACAAGACCAAGACCAGTCCAAGACCAAGACAAGACCAAGACAAGACCAAGACCACAGGGTCCCAAGACCAAGACAAGACCAAGACCACAGGGTCCCAAGACCAAGACAAGACCAAGACAAGACCAAGACCACAGGGTCCCAAGACCAAGACAAGACCAAGACAAGACCAAGACCTCTGAGGAACGAGACTGACATAAAACTGAGACTTTTAAAGGTCGAGATCAGGACAAGACCGAGACTTCTGAGGTTCGAGTCCGAGACTTCTGAGGTTCAAGACCGACACTTCTGAGGTTCAAGACCGAGACTTCTGAGGTTCAAGACCGACACTTCTGAGGTTCAAGACCGAGACTTCTGAGGTTCAAGACCGACACTTCTGAGGTTCAAGACCGAGACTTCTGAGGTTCAAGACCGACACTTCTGAGGTTCACCGACACTTCTGAGGTTCAAGACCGACACTTCTGAGGTTCAAGACCGAGACTTCTGAGGTTCAAGACCGAGACTTCTGAGGTTCGAGTCGAGACTTCTGAGGTTCAAGACCGAGACTTCTGAGGTTCGAGTCCGAGACTTCTGAGGTTCAAGACCGAGACTTCTGAGGTTCGAGACCGAGACTTCTGAGGTTCAAGACCGAGACTTCTGAGGTTCGAGTCCGAGACTTCTGAGGTTCAAGACCGAGACTTCTGAGGTTCGAGTCCGAGACTTCTGAGGTTCGAGTCCGAGACTTCTGAGGTTCAAGACCGACACTTCTGAGGTTCGAGTCCGAGACTTCTGAGGTTCGAGTCCGAGACTTCTGAGGTTCAAGACCGAGACTTCCGAGGTTCGAGTCCGAGACTTCCGAGGTTCAAGACCGAGACTTCTGAGGTTCGAGTCCGAGACTTCTGAGGTTCAAGACCGAGACTTCTGAGGTTCGAGTCCGAGACTTCTGAGGTTCAAGACCGAGACTTCCGAGGTTCGAGTCCGAGACTTCTGAGGTTCAAGACCGACACTTCTGAGGTTCAAGACCGACACTTCTGAGGTTCGAGTCCGAGACTTCTGAGGTTCAAGACCAAAACATCTGAGGATCGAGACTGAAACTTCTGAGGATCGAGACTGAGACAAGACCGAGAGTTTTAAAGGTCAAGACCGAGACGTCTGAGGTTCGAGACCGAGATCGAGAACTTCAGCCACATGTCTCTGTAGACCTGCTCTGCCCACACCGTAACATAAACATTTTGATATATATATTTTTCTTTAATCACCTTTCAGCCAAATTTTGCCGAAAGGTGAGACATTTTCAAGCCTGAACTTGGTCTGGTTTGGTCTCCATGGAGATAAAAAGGTTTAATGCCACACTGTGAAACATTCCAGACAAAGCAACAACATCTCCACCAGAAAAGTGACACGGTGCAGCTTTAAATATTGTGTTTGTATAATTGTTCGTACGTTGGCGCTGAGCTGAGTGGTCAGAGCCGAAACTTTCTCCTGCGACGCGTCGAGCTCCCGGCGAAGTTTACGGATCTGGAAAAACAAAAAAAGAATATTAAATAAAGAAAAATTCAACAAATATCTTAAAAAAAATTTTTATCACAGTAAATCTGAATAATTTTACTTTTCTTGACAATATATTCTAATTTTTATGTTTTATTTGTAGCTATGAAGTGAAGTTTACTTTCACCAAAACTACATTTTTGTATTTTTATTTTTATTTTCTTTTAAAGTTGAAACATAAAGTTGTAGTTTGTTCATATTTTGAGCCAGAGATGCAGAGTTTAAAACAACATGGACAAACAAGACCAAACCAGGTCTAAACCAGGTCTAAATCAGGACCAAACCAGGACTAAACCAGGTCTAAACCAGGTCTAAACCAGGACCAAACCAGGACTAAACCAGGTCTAAACCAGGTCTAAACCAGGACCAAACCAGGACTAAAT